AGGAGCAGGGGGAGGCGGCGGAGTCTGAGGAGCTCCAGGCGGCCCCTGCCAAGGTGGAGGAGCAGGCGGAGGCGGAGGAGGTACGCACCCGGGGGCCTGCCGCGGCGCCCCTGTCCACCCCGGGGGTCTGGCCCCTCGATGGCTTCTGCCTGCGGCTGGCTTCGCACACAGCTAGAGAAACAGGGCCTCCAGCATCCAGGCCAGGCTGCCCGCAGGAGGGGCAGAGCCCTCGGCCGGCAGGAAATGGAGGTTCCGGCGTGCCAAGTCGCAGCCCCGTAAACTGGTCCTCTTCCCCTAGAACGTGTCCGCGCGGGACAAGCCTACTGGAGTGCCGTCCGGGTGTGCTTTCTGCTCCTCAGCCCCTCCTTGCCCGGGAGCCTCCCCCAGCATAGGCCGATGCGCACCGCAGCGCATCACTCCCAGGGCACGAGCAGGACGTGGGATTTTGCTCCACACTCACCGACTACCCCTCCTGCCCAGCGGTTCTCACATACACGTGCATGTGGCTTTTTTGATGTTTGCCGTGAGCATTGTCTTATACTTTGGTGCAGGGGAGGGAAGACTGACTTTCTTTTTAAATCAATTTGAAGTCCAGATTCCAGAGTCAATATTGGGAGCTTTGTGAATCCCATGGGATGGGGCTGAAAAAAAAGGCCCTGGATGGCTGCAATCATTTCTAGTCTGTTTTTCAAGCTGTGTGTGCACTCCCTGCATTCAAGTCTAGCTTCATGCAGCGAAGGGTGCAGGGTAAAGCCCCCTGCAGCACAGCTGCACACCCCCAGGCCCATCTTCCCTGCCTCTGCCCAGGCCCACTCCGTGTTGCCCAGGCTGTCTCTCAGGGATAACCCGCTCCTGCCAGCCCTATACATTCTTCCTGGTGCAGGTCTTGAGTTGGCGCCTACTTCCCCTGTTCCTGGGATCTCACCACTCCTGGCTCACCCAGGTCTTCTGGGGCTCGCACGATCCTGTGCCCTGTTCTTGTTCAAGTTCCGTCTCTGGAAGGGAGGGTGGCCAGGACAGCAGACGCTGTGACGGCTGTGAGGGTGCTGCTCGGTGGGTCATCAGTGTGTCCGCAGTACTCACTCCGTCCTTTGCCGGACACAATGGTTTCCACTGGAGAGAAGCCCTGGCTATGGGGGTGGGGGGACAGCAAGGCTGGGCTCCGAGGCATTCTCTCTGCTGAGTGTGCCAGACCCCCTCTGAGCAGGCGCTTTGCTTGACAAGTGGGTGACTAATTGTGTCATTAGAGAGGATTCCAGCCGCTGCATTCATCCCAGAGAGGACTGGACTCCGATTAATGGGAACTGTCTGGCTTGGCTTGCAGGGACGCTGTGCGTGGAGGCTTGGCTCCTCAGCCGAGCCCATGGCAGGTGGGGCTGGGCGTATACTGGCTGCTGTGTTAGGCCTGTGCTCATGCTTGGGATTCCTGCCTCCCTCATAGCCTCGTGGCAGCAGGAGAGGGGGTGGACTGTTCAGGCACCGTCAGCCCTGCCCCTCCAGCTCACACAGGGTCCTTTATCACCCAGCAGTAGGTGAAACTCACAACGGTCATCCAGAGGCACTCGGTGGTATCTCCATCTTGGGCTGCAGCACTTAAAGAATTTCCCACAAGGCCTTTGGGCCCTTGGCACCCGTGGCCTCTACTGTGACGGCGCGGTGGTGGTGATAGGGGCTCTTGCATGCCTCGTCCCGTCGGGGTGAGTGCACGTCCTCTGGAGACGAGTGGCCGCCTGGAAGGATAAGGCACGTAACAGAGTTCATGTGCCAGGCGGGCCTGATGCCAGCTGCCGGTGAGAGTGCCTGAGAGCTGCATTTGCTCTCCCTCCACAGCCCCTGTCCTGACACACCACTCAGGCTAATCCTCTTCCCACTTGGAGATCTTGCCCTTCTCAGGGCTCGGGTCCCCAGTCCTTTCTGATCTGGCCAGCCCTCTCAAGTGCCGTCCCGTGTGCCAATAGTAAGTTGTTCCTGTGTATAAGGTTCTGGGTCAGGTGCATAGGGGACACAGACGTTGGTGTGCTGTCCCCTACCCTTCCTGGCAGTGGCATTAACTGAAGAAGCTGCTTAGAAGTGGTCTTAAATAGACTTAGACATTCCAGAGCTCGCAGTGCTTCCTTCTATTACCACACTGCTGAGGTCGGGGCCTCGGGGCTCAGCAGCCAGAGGTGAGGCCCTCAGCCAGGCTCCTCGGCTCTCCCTAAGTGAATGCAGAGCGAGAGGTGGGAGGGAGAGCTGGCTGTTAGCGCCAGGCCACTGCACTGCCCAAGAGCAGTCTCTGCTCAATGCACCCCTCCCCTCTGCCTTCCGTGTTCCATTAACCACTTCTTTATAATCTAGTCCTCTTCTTTCCCGCGAGGCCTGGGCAGTCTGGGGCTGCTGCTGCCCTTCGCTCACAAAGCTGATTATGGAGAAGGATCGGGAGCTCAGGGAAGCAGCCCGTCAGCTGCTGCTGTGCGTCACCTGTGAGCACCCCACTGTGCTGGGCCTGTCTCTGCCAAAGACACAGTGGGGGCAAGGGGCCAATGGAAATGGGGTGAGATCAACGCAGCCGGGGCCAGTGGCAGGGGTTCCTAGCAGAGGGTGGGGTTATACCATTAGAACCGTTTTCCTGTCTCCCCTAGGGGTCAGCTAAGGTGGGTAGTGGAGGAGGTGACAGGCACTCCCACTGGTATGAAGAATTAGGAAAAGACCATATCAAGAACAAAGCGGTCCCTTCTAAGGTCAGGAAGCAGCCCTTTTTGATGCTTAGGCGTTGGGGGCGGGGCCCTTAGGATCACCTGGCCTCTTACTTGAGGGAGGTATGAATGCCAACAAGGCTGCATTTCATCTTAGGATTCCCAAACAGCGGCCATGGGAGAAGGGTGACAGGTCATTCAAATAGCACTAGAGCTTAGCCTCTGCCTGTGCCAGGACTCAGACATCTTGGTACTCTGGTCTTGACTCTATTCAAAAATGGGGTAGGGGCTTTCTGTAAGGTGGCTGGCCAGCGTCACGAGACACAACCACCAGCAGGGAGACCCTGCCCGATTACCAGAACCGAAGCAGTATGGCAAATGGGTGCATATTGACCCTTGACTGGATTCTGGATCAGGGATGGAGTGGGGCGCTGTAAAGGACATTTTGGAAATAAGTAAGACTTTTAAAAGTAAATGTTGTGGGAACCAGCAGTTAGCGTAATGGCTATGTCGCTGGACTCCCACATGGCTGACCTGGTGGTTTGAAAAATCACGCTGGGTGCATGTATATACATGCCCAAGATCTTGGGAGGAGTGGAGGACAAGGAACTGTGGCGTGGCCATCATCCCTGAGGGGTCACTTCTCACTTTCCATCTCTGTTTCTGTCTGTCTCTCTCCAGCAAGTTCACATGCCCTAGCTGAAAAATCTCTTTAAAAAAATAAAATTGAAAAGTAAATGGTGTGGGGACCAGTAGATGGCGTAGTGGTTAAGGCCAACTGCGGTTCAAGTCCCAGACCTGGTGTTTTGAAAATCACACCCAGTGCATGTACGTGCATGCCCCAAAATCCTGGGAGAATGGAAAAGAAAGGACTGAGGCTTGGCCATCGCCGGGGGTGATCTCTCATATTCCCTCTCACTGTCTCTCTCTGGCGAGTGCATGCATCCTGTGGCAAAACAAACAAACGAAAAAAGTGTTAGATACAATTTATTTGTATTTTTTTAAAGAATTATTTATTTAATTTTACTTATTCATTTATTTTAATTTGACCAGAGAGAGATAGACACAGAGAAAGAGAGTGAGAAAGCAAGCCACTGGGTCCGGGACTCTAACTGTGGTTGGTCATGTGGGAGTGTCCAGTGCCTTAACTACCGCGCCACCTACTGGTCCCGATACAATTTATTTTATTTTATTTTTTATTTTTTTAAAGAATTATTTTATCTGTTTATTTTTATTTGACCAGTGGGACAGACAGAGAGAGGGAAAGTGAGAAAGGAAGCTGTCAGGTCCAGGCCTCGAACCAAGATCAATTCATGTGGGAGTCCTGCGGCCCTTAACCACCATGCCAACTGCCGGCCCCCGATACAATTTTTATTTGAAGAGAGACTTTTGCTGTAGGGCACATGCACTCACTAGAGACAAAGGGAGAAACAGAGAAAAAGCAAGAAATCATTCCCCAGCGGGGACGGCCGCACTGCAATCCCTTTGTCCCCTCAGGATCCTGGGTACACATGTACATGCACCTGGCATGAGTTTTAAGCCACCAAGTCCAGGGCTATAACCATGGTCAGCCATGTGGAGTCCAGCACCTTAACCACCGTGCCACCCACAGGCCCTGTGTTAGATATATTTATTGGATCAATGTTGAGTTCTTGTGTGATACAGGCATTATGGTTACGTGGAAATGTGTCCTTGCCCTTAGGAAGATGTTTACCGGAACATCTAGACATGATGATATGTCATTATTCAACAGTTACACACACACACACACACACACACACACACTGTGTAGAGTGAGAGAGTGCAAAGGTGACAAAATGCTGATAACTGGGATTCTAGGTAAATGGTATATGGGTGGGGACCAGTAGATGGCATGGCAGTTACGTCATTAGACTTCAACATGGGGGACCAGCAGTTGGCATAATGGCTATGTCGCTGGACTCCCATGTAGTCGACCACGATTCGTGTCCCGGACCCGGTGGCTTAAAACTCACGCCGGGCGCGTGTGCACGCGTGCCCAAGATCCCGAGAGGAGAATGGAGGACAAGGGATTGTGGCGTGACCACCCCCCCGGGGGGTGATTTCTCGCTTTCTGTCTCTATGTCTCTGTCTGGCGAGCGCACGCGCCCTATAGCGAAAACCTCTCCCCCCCAAAAAATAGACTTCAACATGGCCAACCGTGGTCCAAGTCCTGGACCCGACGGCTTGAAACTCACAACAGGCACGTGTATGTGCATGCCCCGGAACCCAGGAGAAAGATAGAGAAGGGACTGCTGCGTGGCCATCCTTCCTGGAGGGTGATTTCTCACTTTCCCTCTCTCTGGCAAGTGCACAGGCCCTTCGACAAAAATCTCTCAAAAAAAAAAAAAAAAGAGTATGTAAGTGTTCATTGTGCTACT